TAAAGGTACAAAAACGCCACACGTCCGCAGGCGTTTTGCAGAAAAATACATTTTGCGTCTAGCCGCTGGCTCATCCGGCCTAAAAGTGTCGAAGATGTTTGCCTTTTGCAAGAGGCGATGACCATTTCCTTCTTTTACACTCTTCAGCCAGACGACTGGGGCTAAGCGTGCAGTTTTAGGGCTACATCCATCCGCGTTGTAGGCGATCGCAACCAGCCGAAACTCATGATGCAACCACATGCGTCCGTAACATGAGGACCGAAGTTCGTGATTGAAAATGATCAAAACTTCCCTCTAGGTTTGGTGAGCTGAATCTTTGTGCTCCCATGTGCAAGAAATTGAAGGCTCTCTTTGGCTCAGACACATCCCGTATGCCTGTCATCTCCCTGTAATCTGAATTTAGCGATCTCATCAAGGCGGGCGACTTAAACACACTTAAGGAGATGTCGAGTATACTTGGTGAAATCTGTCACTTGTTTTGCTGCCCTCCGCGTCCGTCCCACATAGTCGCGAAGCTTGCATTTCTTCCACCTCCTCCAACATATTCGATCATTTCGTGCGCCAACGATTCCACCTGCCACATTGAATTCAAACCGGAGGCTGGATGGCACTTACCAGAGGACGCTACTTCAAAACTAACGGTAAGGTAGTTTGCTGCTTATACACGTTCTTGGGCACGATATGTTGTGTCGGCCCTTGATATAAGCATTGGGAAGGGTTTGACGGCTGGTGTTTTGAAGTTTTATGGCCTGAGACAAGTGTAACACATTTTGTGTTAGATATTCAAGGATCGATACACAGGACGGAGACTTTTGCCATCATGATGCATGATCGAAATATGAGGGTTAATGCTATTACCACAATCTCGCACATAATCTCTCGTTGGTTCGTCTCATACAAATTGGGCCTGCACACAAAAGCTGACAATTTTATTCAGTGAGTCCCAAAAATGAACAATCGATGGGTCGTGGTGATAGTGATATTCGAATACGAGTATTTTCGGGCGAAGTTAAGGTTTTAAGGGGCGGACGGATGGCCCATGAACGCGGTACGCTTCAAAACGTGTCAACTCTCGGATATTCTGTAGTCGATGGATAAGAAAAAGCGAAGGTTACAAGTTCACGAAATAAAACGAGCAAATAAATATTGGATTGTGAGCGACTGATAAATCAGTTCGGCAACCGCATTGCATAGTATCTGGAAGGAAGATTGGAAACGAAGACAATTAATCGTGAATGGAGGTAAAGCGGAATCAAAGGGGCTAAAGCGAAGTAACTCCGTTAACTAGCCGGCGTGTGTTCCGAATAACCGGTTAATGAAAGCTGGAGGACACACCAAAGATAACATGCGGAGAACAACATTCAGTCTGTATGTCACTACAATACTTCCAGAGCTTTACTGAAAGTCCATTTGCAGAAGATGTCAACTTCCTAAATGCTGACTTTTTTGAAGTGGCGAGCCCCCTACTTGCTTGCTAAGCTTGGAGTCGTTGAAAAATAGTGCGGTTGGAGTAACCTCTACTATCCGGTAGCACGACCTAGTTCCTGAGTACCATTAACTTTCGTCGAACTTCCAAACTAAGACGGAAACCGATGAGGCTGTTAGTCAGGACGAGCACGAGTAACATACGGCGAGTTGTGATGTAACCAGATTTTCTGCAAGTAAACTGACATGAAGGCATAAACGAATGTACATTGTGTGTGAAAATACGACAAAAGAATGGGCTTAGGAGAGGACTTTTCGTTGGCTTATCGCAAGCATTCTGTGGTGTCTACACTTCGAAGCAGTCGGACAGATAATCTGGATAAACTGACTGCATAAGCACCACTGATATCTATCGGTCGCCATTTCTTGCATTGTTTCCAGTCAATCTCAGAAGGGGTCACGAGGACCCTATCCAGGAAGGCATTGTCCAACCTGGGGTTTCCGCCATTCTGAAGAACCCACGGAGAAGGACATTTGTCCCGGTAGACAGCGTTTTGGGTTGCGCAACAGGTGACTATGGCTGATCATGCTTGACATTTTCCGCGTTTGAAGTACCGGCCACTACCAACCACTCGTTTTCTACTTACTTCGTTACGAATCAGTTGGCGCCAGCAACGCTTCTGAGTCATCGGTGATCAAAAAGGGTGAAGATGCCTCACATTACATGTCTGCAGAGGCCATGTCTTCTAACCATACAAAACCACAGCCCCCACTGTAGCCTGGTACACACAACCCTTGATACCCAGTGATATACCGTTTTGACGCCACAGGTGACGCAAAATGTCGAACATAGTTCGGGCGTTTGTACTTCGCGCAGTGATTTCATTACACACACTTCAATCCGGACCAATACAATTACCGGAGTACATCAAATCCTCCTCAACATCCGGTGATTCTCCTTGGATTCAAAGGAGTATGTCCAGATACGGTGCGTTTCGAAGCATATCTTCGCACTTTGAAGTTTCTTAAACTGCTGGGCGCATACCGAAATATGATATGGTGGCTGTCAGTTTATTAAACAGGGCTTGTGGCGCGACTTAGTCTTCAAGGACGAGGGTAACGTCATCGACATACTCCAGATCGACGAGGTCCTCACCAGCAACAATCTGAACACTAGAGTCCAAAGAACTTGCATCGTTCGCCCCGGTATTTCATCGACAACGAAGGCAGCTAAGTAGATCGGCTTTCGGGGTTTGAAAACAGGCTTCGGGATGCTTAAGGTTGTTGTTGTTGTTCTTGAAGCCGAACACGCAAAAGCTGCATCTGAGGGTAATGAATAGCGAACAAAGCGGTCAATGTTAGTGGCGGGATCTGTGGAGATAGTGTTCAAGTTGTGATGGGGTAGTGTAGAAGAGCGAATACGTGAATGTGTACCAAGTGAGGCGTCAGTATTAGCATGCTGTCGTTCTGCTGTATGCAGCAAGTAAGGCGACTCGGCTTGTGCTACCACCCGATGGCTGATGTGGCATGTGAGCATTGTTGGTTGTAAGTGTCATGGTTGTTCGTGGGCTGAGATGCTGCCAGGGTGTCCACACCTGAACAAGGGGACGATTAGGGTCGTTAACCAACACCCCACTGCAAGGTACCGGTGGTTGAAAGAAGATGCAAATGCATTACTATCTTTATAGAAGTCGTCACACATACTCCAACCTCGGAGGGTCAGGAGACTGTGTTCCTCAGACCTTTTCCCACTCCTATCTAATTTCATTTTGGCGATATAATGGTCTTCAGAACTATGGTGTTCTAAAAGCTATTTACGAAAACATCGATGTCGAACATGCAGACAACATCCTTCTCGTCTTTAAAGAGGTAAAGAGAACGGTGGTGTTTCCGAATGAAATGCCCAGAGTAATTTCGTCTTTTGGCATGTGTTTTGCACCCACAAAATAAGGTCGTGCTCTTGGACATGCGGTCACTCGACACGCAAGGAGAGAAATTCTAGGATGTAGAGCGTTCTACGTGTCTTGGAAGTTGTGTTAGCTCTGGATGTAGTGTGTCGGCTGCACGAATCTCCAACTCGGGTTGCATGTGACAATCTGAGACATGTATGGTAGCAAAGCGGCACATCCTTGGTGTTTGTCTGTGAGACAGTCCCTGTAAGCAGCTGACAGCTGCAGGTTTTCGATAGCTGTTGTCTCAGAGCCATAGCTTATGTAGGCTGGCGCTTGCGAATCTGCAAGAGCCAATTGGAAAACGGGTGTCCGGTTGTATAAGAGAAATTGTAATTGAAGAATGCGTCCAGCACCTAAAGCTGCGGCGGTTAGGCCATCTACTACGTATGCCGAATCGTTGTTCGTCGAATTGGGTGCTTTAGCTCGTGGCCAAATCAGAGTGGTACAAGCTGACATGGCAAAAGGCTATGAAAGTGATAACGAAAAGTCGGCACTGTCAGTGCGACTCCCCTTCTAGAATGGAGTCCGAGTGACCCTCCATGTGTCTGGTTGGAGGCGCTGTAAGATATGGCTGCTAGTCGGTCTATGGCTCGTCGGTTTCTGAACAGAGTATATGAATAAACTACTAAAAGTGTAGCTTCTCGGAATGATTGTGGTGGGCTAGATTAGCACTAGATCTCCTCCCCAGCAGCTTTTATTCCACTTAACCGTAAGACCAAAAAAATTATGATCGTATGGCAGCGAAGCATCAGTGTTGAACACTGATGGGTTGTCGATGATGACATTTATGACCGGGACTGTTGAAGTCGTTTCTTTCTCAAATGTTTCTCGGACAGGTGTCTCACAAAGCGGGAATGCTGGCTTACCTTCTGGAAAAAGTAATTGTCAAAACTGTTACTTCTTTTGAAATATTTGCCTTAGACCATACGGCACAACCTGAAGGTAATTTATCCTCTAATAAGTTTAACTAAGCTGTTGATCTGATGTTCATTGTCAAAAAGGGTGCTAGCAGGGGATATGACAATCACGGAAGGATTAACTTGACCCCCGCTGTAGCCAGACTCTTTCAGCCGCTTATTTCAAGTCATCTTATGTCGTGCTTTCTTCGAGTGACAGGGCAGCTAGGCATCAATAGAAGGCCACAGCTGAACGTTTATTATTATGGAGGGGCGTGAAGATGAGACCCGAGGACACCATGCGGGATCCCGGCCTGTAAGGAGCTCTATGGACCAGGTCTTCACACTCCATCTAATGTTAGAACTACGGTATACGTAAGGCATTCTTTCGAATCTGTCGACTGGTCGGTTTTTTTTCGACACGCCTGCGCATCAGGGTGTACCCCAGAAGTTCCTGAATATCATGCACTGTTTTTATCCACATATTTGTGGGCGCGTGTGAGTGAATGGGGAGCCCTCCAACAGCTTTCCTACAAGCAGTGGTGTTCGGAAAGGATGTCCGGTCTCTTTGTTTTTGTTTAATCTCGTGATTGTTGATGTGTGATGCAAACACTGGAAGGGTTTCAAGATCCTGACGTTCGCATCTCTTTAAGCTAGAGGGAGACCTTGTCGACTTGAACAAGAGTAAAGAGCGGGAACCACCCGCAATAATTGATAAACTGACCGAGGTCATCAAATCCTCGTAGCCTCAAAGCGCAAGTTCTTGCTGTAGGACGTAGTCTTTGAACATGCCTCTGAGGATTCAGGAGGGTTAAGAGACACTATACTTATCTTGGAAGCTGCATTAGCTCCGACATTAATGTGACAGACGAAGTAAACGCATGAATCTCGAAGGCCGGAATTGCATTTGCCAATTGGTCCCACCTGTGGCGTCAAGAAGATGCCTTCCTGGGTCTCAGAAGGCTCGTATATCAGGCTACGGTGCGAGCTGTATTGTTGGACAGTTGCGAGATTGGGCTACTTCGAGTGGAGGGTCTTAGACATCTTCAAGTGTCTGAGCATCAATACCTCAGAACTATGGCTGGATTGGGACCAATGAACTTGCAAGGAGGTGACCAGATGACGGACCTTTGGTGAAACAAACGGTACTTCCCTCAAAGAAGGCATCCAGCACTGCAAGCTAAGGGGCTAGGCCGTGTTGCGCGTGCCAAATCACCGCCTACCGAGACAAGCCCTGTTTTCCGTGCCTAATTCGGACTTGGGAACCTATAGGTGGACAGAACTTGATGTGATAGGGGGGAATGTAGGTTATTACGAAATTTTGGCCGCTGTTAGTGCTGTTCGCCTTTCGGGATGGGGGTCCATATGACGCCCCTGTGCTTGATTCAAGACAGCGATGTCCAGTGATGACCGGTATCGGTGGCGTCAATTCTGTCAGTTTCTATCCAGATTGTCTGACTCAGTGTTGGAGGTGTAGGTGGTGGTAGGTGGGGTAGACCAGTCCCAGGCCCACCTCCCTACTCCATCTTTTCTTTCCATTGCAAGGTGTTACTGAAATAACCTAATATGGATGTACGGCAGCGAAGCACCAGCGTTCTCATCTAGTGTTGCTATCACTGATGATGATGATGCTGTTGGTGTGGAAACTGAGACGTACGGATCACGGTGTGCAACTGTCTCTAGGACTAATGGTGTGGCTTAGTATTGATTGGTCAAACCGTTATCCCTCTCTCAGTGACTCTGGCCCAAAATTACTGACCAGTAGGTCCATGGTTCGAACCTAACCCCGGCATCCAGACTACTCTTGTCTGGTTTGGGCATCCTGGCAATATCTCAGCACTCGTGACTCCCCCGGGTGGCATGGTAGCTGAGCGCGGAAAACGTGTTACGGTTGAACAGTGATGGCATTGTGCGGGCACGTGTACCGGTTCGTTTTCTTTCAGGAGTACACGGACGACGAGAGAACTATTTTCACAACTTTTGGTACTCCAGGCTTGTCTGCTCTGTATATGATCACGGTCATCAGCTGTGGCTGGTGGCAGCAGAACTATAACAGCAACACACGACTATAATGATGCACATAGAGCCCTCAGACGCCGTACGGTGTAGAACCCAAGGACTATCGCCATCTCCGTAATTCACGCTGCCGCTTAGCTGTCATACAGAGAGCCCTGGTACATAGCGAAGGCCTCAGGCGTTGGGGAAAGAACCGCACCCTATTGTCACTAATACGATCAAGTGGCCCGGGGAAAGTAGCTAGTAGTTAAGCGATCTCCGAAGAGAAGGGAGCCTCATTTCATACACTTAAATGTATCTAGCGGCGGAGAGAGAACCGCTATTGTCACTAATACGATCAAGTGGCCCGGGGAAAGTAGCTAGTAGTTAAGCGATCTCCGAAGAGAAGGGAGCCTCATTCATTACACTTAAATGTATCTAGCGGCGGAGAAAGCGTTCAGCTGTAGCACCCTTCCGGTGCCAAACTGCCATGCCACCCGAAGGAAGCACGAGGGCTGGGATACTGCCAGGTTGCCCAAGCCTAGACAGGGGAAGTCGAGTGGCAGAGGTCGGATTCGAACCACGAACCTTCTGGTCAGTAAATTCGCGCTCTAACCACTTGGGCCATGTCGCCCCGCCATCTAGCGGTGGGCTGAACGCGGGAACATTTGGGATTGTCCCATCATCTTGGTCTCTAGAACAGCCCCATAAATCCGAATGGAACGTTGACACTAGTCCTCTATTGCAACAGATGTCCAGCTCAACTTTTCACTGCTATGGTAGTCCATACGTTTGTAGTATGCACTCCTCAAAAAGACGGTAAGTCCTTAGTAGCCCTCCTGATAATTTTACCGTTAACTCTAAGAATTGAAGACGAAGCACCGACATAATTGAGTGCCTCGGCGGTGATTTCGATTTCCGGAAAGGGTGCTAGGACATCGTGCGAGATCACAGGGCGATTCGTCTAACAGCCGTAGATCTAAATATACTCTCAGCATTATCCCACGCAAGCAAGTCCTTCATCGGGAGACAGATTCGTGAAATTCAAGCTGGGCATCAGCCTGGTGAGGGTTTCGTGGATCATATCTTCTTTTTACGACAGATGATCGAACTAAGCCATTGCTTCCTATGAGCAACAATGTTTTTCTCTGTGTAAAAACTGCTGTTGAGCACATTGTAAGAACCTCTGGAAGTGCCTAGCTCTGAAATTCGCCCCTTTTAGTCTGATTGCTCTCTATGCCTCCTTTTGTGGATGCGCACGGGTCCGCAACAAACTTTCATATGGGTTCACCGCATCCAATAATGTCAGAAAGGGCTGCGCTCTTTTGTCCTGACCGATGGATATCACCTCGATATTGTGGTTGGGTTTGGGTTGTGTAATGACTCGGATGAATTGGCTGGGACGTCGTTCCACAAGATGCAACCAAGATGAATAGACCACCAGTAATCGTATTACGAGGTGGTATGGTGGTAAAGTTGTACCGTTCTCTGCGATGGGAGTGGAAAGGTAGTGTGTGTGGGTGTTAAGTAAGGTGTTTCATCCAGTCGACCACCAGATCCACAATGGGTTAAGTACGGCAAACATAATCATCATCATCATTGTCAGCTGTAATAACCGCTTACTTGTCGTACAGTGGTTGTAGCTGCCACAGTTTCGTTCACCGGTGATTAGGGGAGGTGAGGTAGATAGTTGCGCATTGGAGGCGATAGCTGATAAATTGGTGCGTGAATACAGCACTGTCAGTGGACTGTTAAGTGGGGAAATTGGAGAGGGGGCTATGCATTGAAGACAATAGCTCGGATGCATGAGCGCTATTGAGGGCGCGACTGGGCCGTGTCTGATAATGTCTCTAACCATTGATGTGACCCATCTTGAGGTCCCCATCCAGGAACACTGCAATGACCAACGCAGCAGAGTTTGCGAACAGATCAACGACCATCTGATGAACCCCCAATGGAAGCTGTTCTTCCTGGGGGTACACATCCGGGTTCACCCATCAGTCCACTTTCTCTCAGGACTGTTCAGACAGATTCAGTTTATCGTCTCCTGTGATTTTCCGTACTCTAGTGATATCTAAGTTACGTGGCTAGAATTCTGTCGGAATCGCTCGTACATGTCGTTACTGAAGGTCATTCCGACAACGAGTGGAGAGTGCTGTACTTCAGGACTACCTTCCAAGTAATCAGACTCCACCAACCGAATCGTCAGGTGACCATGAGGTCTCACGCAACAGCTAGAAAAGAAAAACGATAATGTACTGGAGCCGTTCAGCTGCAGTATCTTTTAGCTGCCTAACTGCCATGTCACTCGAAGCAAATACGGAGGCTGGAATATTACCAGGTTACCCAAATTTAGACAAGGGAGTTCGTGATGCAGAGGAATCGATCGAACCACGGACCTTCCAGTCAGTAAATTCGCGCTGTAAAAAATCGTTCAGCCGTAGCACTCTTCCGGTGCCTAGCTGCCATGCCAACCGAAGGAAGCACGAGGGCTGGGATACTGCCAGGTTGCCCGAGCCTAGACAGGAGAAGTCGAGAGGCGGAGGTGGGATTCGAACAACGGACCTTCGGTCAGGAAATCGCGCTCTTACCACTTGGGCCATCTCGTACTACCCACCGAGTTTTCCTAACTAACTGGCCACCCTTTGAGCGTGTCACACAAATCCATGAGCGTTCGTTTACATCTAACATCACAACCAAAAGCTAGTCGTTTGGACCTGTAATTGTGTAATCTCTAACCTGCGTGCTACTCATCCTCTGCTTGTTATGAAATACACCTAAACGCCTGTCGGCCGTTAGAAAGAGTATAATTTTGTATGGGAAGGGAGGCGCTGACTAATTTCTCGGAAATGCCACAAATTTATGGAGTTGGGTTACCCATATGTGTTTTCGAAACTGTCGGAACTCGGTCTTCCATTCAACAACATACCAACCAGGACCTGTAGAACTACTTTCGCTCTTTAAACCCGCTTCTAGTCCCCTGTTTTAACGCCGTGACGCAGTGGTGTGCTTCCCAGTTGAGGATAGGCATATTATCCCTCTCAAAGGGAGTTCCTCTGAAGAGGGGCTCTTCCTGGAGAAAGACCACGACCGCGTCTCACTTTGAAATTAGTGTGCAATCTGCTGGATAGGTAAAACATCCCCTTCCTTGAGTTAATATGTTGAAACGAACTGCGCCATTCGGTCTTCTAGTTTATTGGCTCTCTTCAGAAGGGTACATTTGAAAAATCACGGTGGCAGAATTCTCATCTGGCTGACTTGTTAGGTGTTTCAGCTTACCAGACTAATTGATTCTGGCTTACTTTTGTTCTCACCCTTCTATTCAAACAATGACGGTTATATGTGCTTTTATTTCCTCATTTATTTATTCCGGTAACATAGGTTTTTTACACGATGACTCGTCGGCAGTCCAGAATAGCCTGTATGTATATTCCGGCGAATTCGTGCTGTTCCGCGGTGCCATCGGCCAACCTGTCATCCAACTTCTCATCTCGCCGTGGCGCTTCTCCCTCCCGAATCTATTCGAAATTCCCTCAAGCCATGAGCGCAAGTTGTCCCACTCTGACTGACGAAAGTGCACTGACCGGTGCGGCGGCATTGGCGTCTACCGGAGGTGATACAGTCAACAAAACCCCGTATACCGTGCTGTTCAGCCATGGGAATGCGGTCGATATTGGTCAGGTTCGTCGCATCCATTTTTCATGTGCAGGACAGCTAATTTTACTCTGACCTTCGCGAATTTCTGTAGCTCTGAGCGAGTGGTACTGTTCGGTAGCATAGTTCTATGGTTAAGTATCAGTACAATAGTAACCCCCAATTTTGCCGAAAGCTTGCTCATGGCAGAATCAGTCCGAATCTTTCCAATTCACATCACAACTAAGCGGATTGGAATACCATACAATACAACATCAGAGGGAACCAGTGTTTCTATGACTGCAAGCATTTCATAAGAATAATTGCACCCAGTCCTGGGGATGTCGTAAGCTTTATTGCACAACCTGATGATGAAGTTCTTAGTTCTTCTTTTTTAAAGGAATGCATTAAATGTTTACGACAAGTTTTGTGACGCAACCAACTGGCATTTGACTCTACTCGTTCTTATCCACGTCAGTAGCAATCTGATAAAGTGGTATAACTCTCGCTGTTTTATTGTCACGTCGATGGTTAGGGACTCATTATACCTGATTTAGTTGAAATGGCTGCTGCCTTTATGCATCTGCCGTCGCCTGGTGATCAGCGCTAGATGATGGGACAAATACCCGATGATTACTGGTCGTCTAGGATTTTGTAGTAAAGCCTGAAAGTTACAACATGTCTGATCCTTCTCGGGGTGACCCGCCTTTCAGGCTAGGTTGTAGGTACCTAAAAGCCTATATATTTGGGATTTTGTCAGATTGTTTTACGTAAGCTGGTCTCACTTAATCGGTGTTTCTTACGCCACGGCTTGGGATGCGTTGGCATTGTTATGTGACAGTGAAACACCCGTGTGTCCATAGTTTGTATCCAAGTTTTCTTCTTTCCAGTGACCCACTTCAGGGGTAAGTTACAATGTCCTATCTGTCACTCAGGTTACCATGACGTGGAAAAGACGATAGCGTTCAAAGTTTTTTTCTGGTTGCGAATTGTTCTTAACCGAATATGAGGTAGATATGTAGTGTGACAGATGAGGTGAATGCACGAATCTGCAAGGCTCGATCTGCTTTTGCTAATTAGAGACACCTATGGCGTCAGAATGGTTGATCTCTGAATCTGAAGGGACGTGTGTATCAAGCTACAGTACGGGCTGTTTTGTGGCAGTTAGGCGTTTTCGGTTGTGTAACGGGTAATTCCACTGAAGAATGTGTCCAGCACCAGAAGCTGCGTTAGTTGGGACATGTGTTACGTTACGCGAAACACCGTTTGCCGAAGAGAGTGCTGTTTTCCATGCCCAACTCAGAGTGGCGTAAACAGAGAGGTGGCCAACTCTTGACTTGAGTATGAAGGAGATCACGAAACGCTTGGGTACTGTCGGTGCTACCCGCTGTGTAATCCTCACTGTGCCTGGTTGGA